GCAGCGTGGCGCAGCCGGGCGATGCTCACGAAGCGCTCCAGGCTGACGGCCGAGAGCGAGAGGATGATGACGGTGCCGCTGAGGCTGACCACGTAGAAGAGCATGTGGCAGGCGGCGGCGCCCAGCAGCCAGGACTCGGTCCAGCGCACGACGGCCGTGTGATGAAGAGCAGGTCGGCGCAGAAGAGGTTGAGCACGAGGCAGTTGGCCGCGCACAGACGGCGCTGTCGCCGCACCAACAGGCAGATGCCCCAGATGTTTCCAGCCAAGGACAGCAGGAAGATGAAGGCCAGGGCGGACGACTCAGCGATGCGCAGGGCTGTCACATTGTGGCCCCTGAAGTCCGAGAAGAAGGGGAAATAGGTCCTGTTCTCTCCTGGTGCACCCCCGGCCCCCGGCATGAGGGTGGTCGGTGGGCATGTGATGGTGAATGGTGTGGATGGTGGCACCAGCCCTAGGGGAAGGGCTGCGCTCCCAACCACCACGGCGGCACCTGGGGTGTCCTCCCAGCACGGAGCAAGGGGCTCACCGCCATCCCCCTCCCTCCTCGTCCCTCTGTCCCTGCCACCGAGGCTCAGCCGTGCCAGCCGGGCGGTTTATGGCCCTGAGCTGGAGTGGAACAAGGAAGTGGGAGAGTAAACACGCTGGAGCTCACACAAAGGCGAGGCTGCCGTGCACGGGGAGGAGGTGAGGGGCCGGGGGCGAGCAGGGTGCCCAACACCTCCCTGGGGAGGGCGTGGGGCAGCACATGGCGCTGCCATGCCGAGGGGCCCAAGCCCACACACCTCCTCCAGGACCAGCCCTGGTCTGCCCAGATCTTCAGCCAAGTCCCTGGGGCACCAGTGACCCGGGGAGGACGCCCAGTCTGCTCCTCTCCGGTGGGGGTGTGTGTATGGCTTAAAACACACCACTTCAAGAGCTCTCCTTAGATATCCCTCCTGGGATAACCAGCACTAATATCAGGTTAAATAAAAAGGAATTTACTCATCGCTCCGTGCACTGCTCAGGCTAACTGTGGTCTGGTGTGGAGGGGAAGTGTCACTGTTTTGATTTTGAGGATCTGTTTAAGTTGTTGATTCGGAATCTTACCCACCTGTATTATCGGTTCTTGCTGGAGAAGCCTGTTAAAGTAAGACAAACCTAGAAAATACCACATTTTCTCTGAACTTCAGTTCCTGAAATCAGTTGCTCAGACTGCAAGTGAAAGTAGGGCTTTCCACTGACGTGCTTCATTCCAGATCATTTAGAAATGGTCTGGGAGTGAAGCACACACATTGTCACAGACAAGCAGATAACGTCTCATAAAAGAAGATAACGCGTTTGCATAAAGTATGTAAACAGTTGTATAACTTCAGACAGCTCTGGAAGGATTCATTTGGCTCAGTGCCAGTGTAGGTGCTCCAGAGCACAGCTACAGGCTCACCATATGGAGCTACACCTTTTGCTTAGGTGAGAGTTGTTCCAAACCGGTGTGGCAGTGGGACCAGGTGACTGGGTGGTGCTTCTGCAGTACCCTGGGTGTGACCCTGCCATCAACCGCTTACGCAACAGCATTAGTGGGGATTCCAGATTAGTGGGGATTCCAGAAACTCGGTCCTGCTAAGGGACGATCTCCTAATGAGAGGTGACAACAGTGACATCTTTCCTGGATCGCTTCCCACGTCTTTGCCAGTGCAGAATTTACATTGATTTTAATTAGCATGTTTTCTCTTGGGCTATAAATGGTTCCAACTATCTATGCTGTCTCATCAAACAGGGAGTTTGCAGGGCAGCCCAAACAGGTGGATGAAATGCTCCTACCAACTCTTGCTGGTTGAGGACTTTATGAAATGTGGGCACAATTGCTCTTAAGTGGGATGGACTGTGAAGTCCAGTGAAGACAGTAAGAAAACTCGCAAAGATTGGATTTTTTGGCAACCAGCAACACAATTGACTGGCAAGTGCCTTGATACACATATTGTTTTCTACATCATATGATGTGAGGAAAAAATCTGTACCCATGTTACAAAAGGTTCTGTAAATTTAATTGACTTACTGATTATCCATATTTATTATTCAAATTGAAGGAGGGGAAATTTAGGTTATATATTAGGAAGAAGTTCTTGCCTGAGAGGGTGATGTGACACGGGCACAGGTTGCCCAGGGAGGCTGTGGCTGCCCCAACCCTGGCAGTGTTCAAAGCCAGGTTGGATAAAGCCTTGAGCAACCTGTTCTGGTGGGAGGTGTCCCTGCCCAGAGCAGGGGGTTGGAACTAGATGGTCTGTAAGGACCATTCCAGCTCCTAAAATTCTATGCTATGATTCTATAATCAAAACTTGACATATCTAGCTGCAATTTATATTGGCTGTGCTATGGATTGATTCTTTGAAATGATTAATGAATCTTGAAATATAGCAAATACCTTCCAGTTGCTACAACGTCACACATCTGGGCCTTTATACAAGCTGACAAACTAACCCCAAAGTTCTGGGCAGCTGCCAGTAGTGGTGTTGTGATCAGCTCTGAATAGCAAAACTTGACATATCTAGCTGCAATTTATATTGGCTGTGCTATGGATTGATTCTTTGAAATGATTAATGAATCTTGAAATATAGCAAATACCTTCCAGTTGCTACAACGTCACACATCTGGGCCTTTATACAAGCTGACAAACTAACCCCAAAGTTCTGGGCAGCTGCCAGTAGTGGTGTTGTGATCAGCTCTGAATAGAGGCTGCAGTTTGGGAAATAGCTACTGTTAGAAGTCTGGTTCTACCTGTGTGAAAACTTGCAAGGCATTAACAGGACAGGTTTGGGGGCAGCTGGAAATGGTAGCACAGAGAATTGCAAATTTTGTTATGAATAAAATCTTTAGCCCCTTTGGCATTAGTGGAAAATGAAATGAGAAACTGATCCTGTCAATTCAGGGTAAAAGTAAACATATTTGAAACAGAATAGGGGAAGGAAAATAGGGAGTGAAACATTCAAAGCAGCATTACTGAAGGAACTGAGATACTTTCAGTCAGGGAGGGAAGGGAACCCACAGAGGAGTAGAAGGTTTGAAAATGAGATGATGTGTGGAAGTATCTGGATAGACCCTTGATCTTCTTTAGAAAGGATCACCTTTAGCTTCGGTCCTTAGGTGTGAGTGAGAACATTGCTTACTTGGCATAAGCCTGTTGTTTGCTCAGGAGAACCAAAGCAAAATGCTGCCCTTAGTATACTATTGTGAGTGAGCTTCACACTGACCTGTGTACAAAATTCTGTGCCTGGGGACAGCAGAGGTGTGGAGAAACACACCATGGGGTTTGGTCAAATGAACAGGAGCTCCTTGCAGGAGCAAAAATAGTCTGACTACTCATGGGTCTAATGGATCCATTATCTAAAAAAATAGTTTTCTTTTCCCTCCCATGAAGTACGAAAGCTGTATTTGCTGTTGGGTAGGTACAATCATAGCAACCATCATGACGTGAAATCCAAGGAAGGGAGGAATCATAACCTCAATAGAGCTACTCTGGCCTTGCTGTGATAGGTGGATGCTGCATGTGGTATATGCATCACATGTGCTTACAACAAGGAAATTATTAACAGAATGCTTGGAAACCCGTATGATTGCTTAACCTACACATTTTTTTCCAACCTAGGTGCCCTTTAATACTCAGAAGTGGTGAAACATGGAGTCAACTCAGATTTCATTGTTCTAGGTTGAATGAAAGTTGTGGGGAGCTCTGTGGAGCTGGTCAGTTAGCCCAGCCAGGAAAAATATTGTTGCTTTTTTGTGGGGTTTTATTTGTTTTTCATGAAAGCTCAAGCCTTTGCCTTCTCTGTGGCAGATAAGGGCTGTGTTACCTGATACCATAAGTCAAACTCTGCTTTTCAGATTGTTCCCCTGACAACCATGAACTGTCACGACAGATGGGGATAGTTCAGTTTATTTATTTCTTCAGCATAAGGAATATTCCCAGAGAGACACCACTTGGGCTAGGTGATTCTGGGGGATGGGAATTCTTACTCCTGTTGGACTTGACCTAGTAAAGAATTTTGCCTTATTTATGCATCCTTTTGACGTAGACTGGTGTTTAAGTCTTTGGGTCTGTTGCCATGAACCTGTATCACAATGAGTAAATAGCACTGACTTCTGTAACAGTTGTGTTGCACATTAATGTTTGCTAAATGATTTAAATTCATTGCGTTAGAAATGTTGAATCTTTGTCTTCACAAAAGAGGTTCCAAGCTTGCAGATGACTCAAACTGTGCCTGTACAGTAAAGGTTTTAGCATAAAGTCACAACCAAGGTTAGCTTTCTGCTTTCATTTCTGCTTTTACATCCCATGCTGCAGCTGTTTTGCTTCTAGACATTATCAATTCTGTGCTTGAAAGAAGTAACACCATTTTAAGGTATGTTTCAGATACAAGTCTGTTCTGATTTATTTGGGGTTTTAGGAAGTTTTCTAACTGCTCACCCACTGTACACTCTCACATCAGTGAGCATGAAGCATTTACACCAATGTGCAAAGGACAATTTTAAACTTGTAATGCAAATATAAATGCATCTGTTTGTCTTCATATAGTACCAATCTCACATAGTCCAGTGTACACTGAAAATAGCTAGATGCCTTGTGGATCTGTGTTTTCACAGCAAAATCTAATCTGTTTCTTCTAGGAAGTCTCATGTTGCTGTGGTCAGTGTCCACCAGAAGCTGGCATGCTTCCTGGGCTATGTGCCAGTGGCGCTGCAGTTTCAAACTGGAGCAGCAGCATTGCTGACCAATGCCTCAGTCAAAAGCAGAGCTGCTGGTAATGCTCACAGCAGATGTGCTTTCTAATGGAAGCTGGGTCGGCTTTTTGTCATCGAGACCACCAGAAGTTTTGCCAACAGCACCACTGAACAATTTTCTTGTGGCTTGCAGTAAGGGAGGAGTTTCTCTCTGAAGCAAGTGCAAATGTAAGTACCTAATCCATGTAACAGAGAATTCCCCTGAAAGGTCATGTTCTCTGTTATGCTGCACACTCACCAAGCCTTACCACGGTGACTCAGCTCCAGCTAGACTGTCCTAACTAAATGAGGTGGTTACTTAACAGTTCTGGAAACTGAAATACACATCTAGCCCATGGATAGAGGGAGTTTATCAGTGAATACAGGGTATCAGAGTGGTTCATTTCAACATTGCAGGATCTGGTAGAACACTGTCACCAAGGAAATGAGACCCTGAGTGAGTTTTATGTGGAGAATTATAATCTGATGGTTAAGTGACACTGGACCTTGGCTTAACTTTCAGGTGTGCATAACGTTACTTAGATTTCTGCTGAAGAGCTTTGATGCAGAGACATCAAAGCAAATACGAGGGTATATGCCTGAAGGATTTACAAACTAAACTTGTCACCAGCCTCTCACACTCATGAGATGTACTTAGATGTTCCCT